TATTCAAATTAATCTTCACATAAACGATTCTCTTTTTGTAATCTTTTTTATCTCTTTATTTTTATTCTTCACTTTAAATATTTTCAAATCTTCACTTTTCATTTTGAATCATACCTGTCTTTATTTTGAAGCTCATTTATTTTACTTACTTTTACCATTAATAATTATGATCATCAGATACTATCACACAATCGTTATCGTCAGAAAATTTCCGTTTGGTCAATATTGATCTCTTCAGTTCGGATGAATTATCATGAAGTATGTTGTCATTACTGATAATGCAAACATCATTGCTATCATCATTGTTATCAACTTCTATTTTAAGTTTTTTAGTTGGCACTTCAACCTCGGTATCATTTTTGCGTTTTTTAGCTGTATCTAATATCTCGATTACGTTCTGCACAAAAATTTTTAAATTTATTTAAAATAAGCGGTTAAATCAATAATCTCAAAAAAAAGAAATATTATTAAAAAATTAATCAAAAGAAATATTAAAAATACTCACTTGACCATTAGAATTGGAAGACTTTTCCGTTTCTTCTTCTTTCTTTTCCCGCGGTTGAAGTACATTTTTATCCGTCAATATTAAAAATTGTGGACTATCATCCTTTGGATCGGGTTTTTCCCGATAAACTACAAAGATAGTTAATGAATAATTCTGATGAAAGTCATCAACTTTGAGAATTGTTCCATCCTTGATCCCTAATTCCTCCAATTTTTTGTTATTATTGCTCTCTGTTTCACCTTCTTCACTGCTAATGATGACGGCACCAGTTCCATCAATCATTACATCAGGAGCGATCATATTGAGTCTATCTTTGAGTATTAATTCTTCCAGTTCTTTAATAGTCATGTTGGAAGTATCAACCATTAGCATAGCTTGTGGGCTAGGTGCACAAACGTAACATTGCGGATTGGGTGGATTCACTGCTTTTTCCGGAACCAATAGTTGATTACGATGATTCATCTTTAAACGCAGATAGACCGATTTACAGGCTCGTAGATTGTTCTCAAGGACCCGAAAAGCATGAAGAACTACCATACCCGCGATTATAGCGTTGGTAGTAGCGATTGCTGGGATTATATTGCCAGCCATTGCTGAAGATTAAGAATTATGTTAAAATAAAAATTAGAATTGAAATTTTATATAATATACTGAATGATTTCAATGATTCTTATATTGAAAATAAAATAAAACATATATTGAAATTGTGAAGAAAAAAGAAGAATAAAACTTGAGAAAGATAACTGAATAATAAGTTATTCTCATATAATTGCTAACATTTGATATCAAATCTGCTTTTTTGAGGAATTCCGAAAATATACGCGCGAATATTGGCACATGCGGCGACGAAATCCATAGCATGTTGATCATCTTTGTCCCAAATCAAATGATTGTCTGGTGATTTTGCTTGGGAAGCTTTCAATGCCAGACTTAAATTTTTTATCGATTCCGTAAAAATCGAACCGCATTTGGAAATACTCCATCGTTGTTGATCCTTTAATCCAGGTTGATTGATTTCTTTGCTACATCCAGCCACTTTAGAAAAATATAAATACATTATTCTCACTGAAACAATTAAAAAGAATATTTGAATATAAAATAAATAAGAGCAAACCTCCGTCTGGCAATTCCCTCCAATTTAATGGCGTTGGAGGTCGACGCTTTTTCCATAAATTATCCATGCTCAACAGATATTTGATATCATCATGAAAGAGTTTAACGAACAGTTTTTCCGGATCATAATCACAAGACTGAGCCCAAATTCGCGTGGAAATTCTATTAACATTACCCTTATCATTAGCTTCCGTTTGCAAAGCCCCTTCTCCTGCTGTATCTGTAATATCAAAATATATTTATTTTGCATAAACAATAATAATCATAATAAATAATAATAATAGTGATAAGACAAAATAAAAATAACACAACAAAAAAATTTTAATAACTTTAGAAACATTTTTATAATTTTTTACGAGTTAAATTATTATGCAAAGTAATGTTCTCTGAATATTTTAAAAAGTATGCATTTTCAGAAAAAGTATACATTTTAAATAAAATGTTGTAAGGTTCAAAGAGGATAATATAATTATGACATTGATTCCTTTGCAAATGAGATGGAAATACTGTTGATATCTTTTCATGATTGCTATTTTTTTAAGATATATCATGATTTTAAATATATTATTATCACATAATATGATTCCCTTGATTATTCTGGATATAAAAATATTAAGGTATAATTATTAAATAGTTTAGTTAGTAGTCTACGAAATATTTTATATTTTATTTTGGCATATTTTGATATAAAATGTAACGTATCCCGTAATCCATTTTCTAGTGGATAATTGTATCATAATATTTTTATGCCTAGAATAATGATACAAATTAATGTAAAAAAGCTTAGTGTAAAAAAGCTTAGTGTAAAAAAAGCATAGTTGATTTAAAAAAAAATTATGCAATTAGTAGTACGCAAGTATGTTATTTTTTTAAAACAACATACATTTTAAAACAACTATATGCTTTCTCAGATTAAGCACTTTTCTTATTATTTTACATAAAAATATTAACGTACAATTATAAAAAATAAATAATTTATGAGAGGTTTTATATCAGAATATGTCAAAAAAAATATAAAATTTTATGAACTATTAACTTTATCATTAAGTAGGGATCATCCATAGTCAGATCTATAAGAATAAAAAGATTGAAATGGTTGGGCCATGTGGAAAGAATGGAGGAGGGAAGTGTTGTAAGAAAAACAATTTTTGGAGATCTGGAGGAAAAAAGAAAAAGAGGAAGGCCAAAACTGAAACGATTAAATGAATTAAAAGACTTATGATGATGGAAATGAGAAACTGGAAGAGAATGGCAATGAAGAGGGTAGGAATGGAGGGAGGAATGGAGGGAGGAATGCTGGAGAAAGCCAAGACACTTTAAGGATTGTAGAGCTATTTAAAAATAAAAATAATAATAATAATTTATGATGATTATATATCTCATACTTTTATATCTAAAATAATTAGAGGCATCACATTACGCGATAAAGACATACTGCATTATTTAAAATAATACTATCTAAAAGAACAGCGATCATGAAAAGATATCAACAGTATCTCTATCTCATTTGCAAATGAATCAATATTATCATGCTGTCCTCTTTAGACTCTTTTATAACATGTCCAAAATACATACTTTTCGAAATATTCTGTCTCAAAATATTATAGATATTGTAACAGTATAAAAGAACAAAATTGCCAGTTCTTCAACTTTTTGGATGAGTTTTCGCTATTTTTGTAAATGGATAAATCTCCGATTGATCACTCTGAATTATAATGATCTTTAAAAAAAAAAAATTGATATTGCATATACAATGTAGTGGCAAAATATTAAGTATGCTAATAAATATAGCAAATACTTGTATTGAAACGTCTTTACTTCCTCTTTTTCTTCAGAAAATCACTTTCTAAAGAAACAGACGTATTATTCTAAACACGTCTGAAGATAACTATAAATTGCTTCACGAAAATAAATATGCCTAAATTATAAAAAAAAATATGACTTTAATTATGAGTTATACATGTACATAATTTTTACACACCACACACACGCACGCACGCACGCACGCATGCACGCACGCACGCATGCATGCACGCACGCACGCACACACACACACACACATAATACAACGCGCGCGCGCGTTGTATTATGTATATACTTATAAATTATATAATTATGAATGTCACAATATAACGATTTACATTACCAGTTGCTTCTGGATCTGCTGTATCTGGAGAAACATCCTGGTCAGGATCTTCTTCTCCAAATAATTGGCTGCAATATTTACATTATAAAATAAATCATTAAAAATTGTTTAGAAATCAAAAGAAATTTTTGACAAATAGAAATGAAAATTAAATCAAAATCACAAATTTGATTAAGAAAGCATAACATACAAAATTTTATTTTAATGCAGATTATTCTACAATAATTACTTAAAGAGATGCTTAGCCCATACTATACAGTGAATGGGTTCGCTGGGTGTATTGCGAATGGTACAGCCAGGATAAGTCTTTTGTACAGCTTTAGGTGTACATTCATAACATTGACTTAGGCCTTTTTTAATGAGTTCAACTTGACCTTCATAACCTGCAGTACCAGATTCAATTAATGGTATATCTGCTGACAGGCACATACGATTCACATGGTTTCTAGCTGCTCTATTATCAAGAGCATTCAAAACCATAGTAAACCTTTTGAAAAAAGATAGGCCAAATTCTGATCTGTAAACATATATAAGAAATTTTAAAAAGAAGTTCTAAATAAATAATACAAACACTGAGAATCAATGATACAGTAACAAGTGTAGTAACAAGATTAGTAACAAAGATACTTAAACATACGATATGATACTATCGTGATAGTATATCACTTTGACATCTGGATTAAATGTCAATGCTGTTTCACATGCTATGCTGGCTTTTGATTTTCCTATATGTTTTTTTTGAAACAGAAACTGTCTGTTTAAATTACTGACATCAATTGTATCCAAATCAATCTAGAAAACAATCAAATTTAATAATTTAAATATTTATAATAAAAGCATAGGTATACATGTAAAATAAAAACAAAAATAAAAATAACATGGAAAACATGGAAAATAAAAACGAAAATAAAAATAACATGGAAAACATGGAAAATAAAAACAAAAATAAAAATAAAAATTAAGAAAGATCAAATTAATACAATATATCAACACAAATAAAAATAAGACAAACAAAAAATAATTAAATAATTTTTAATAAGAAAGGAATGTATTATATAACGAAAACGAAATCACAAGAACAGTTTTACATACATAGAGAAATAAATAAACATGTTACAAATAAATAAGACAATTTTTACAAAAAAGAACCAATTCAACAACAGCGAGTGCAGTTGCATGAATATATAAATTTTCACATGATTTCCATTATTTAAAACAATATACTCAATATTTTTATTATTAATATAAAAGAAAAGAAATGTAAATATTTATTAGATTGTTACTGCTACACATGTAAATTGTAACAGTGAAGTTACGTCAGTTATTACAGAATTGTATACTTACAATTTCGATATCGGCAAATCCAGACATAACAAGATTTTTTAGAATCTCGCAACCAATACCGCCAGCACCAACAATGAGCACTTTACTGCGTAAAACGGAATCACGTAAATCATTTCGATATACTCCGTTTATCGTAGTCGCCATCTTGCCAAGTAAGTTATTTCATAGCTGCCGGCAGAGAAAAGCCTCGGGCTGGCGTTCCATGGCGCGGAAATCTACGACAAAACGGAATGCACGGACCAATCACAATCACTCTCTTATCTTTCTGTCAAAAAGCTTAACGGAACGAACGAACAAATGTTTCTTTATGGAAAAACGTCGTTTTATGAAAAAACAAGTGAACTGCCTACTGTATCTGCTTATACTGTGCTTGACACTTGATGATTACATGTAAAGGCGCCTTAACGCATAACGCGTCCCTTGAGCAATGGGCTTTGAGATGCTGGACTTGTCTGTTTTATCGACCAAATATATTTCTCTAATTTCTTCGCTTTCCTTAATCCGAATAAAAAAAATCCTTTCTCAAAATGAGAAAAAAATATCAAAATAAATACGGATAGCTATAAAACCATAAGAAGAAACAAAAAAAACTTCTATATTACTTCTATATTTTTGTTACTGCCTAAGCCACTTATTCACTTGATCAAAATAATGACAAGTGTGTATCCAAACAGAAACTATCCACTCATATTTATTCAATAAATAAAAATATTTTAAGACCTCCAAAACATAATTTGAAAATTTATAACAACGTATATCCTTTTTCAAAAACAACTATGTATCTTCATTACAATTGATTCATCTTTCATTCTGCACATAAAAGTAAGATATAATTGTTAAAAAATAAAGTTTATTAGATATTTTATACTTTATGTCTAAATTGTTGTGTAAATTCAAGCCTCATAACTTAGAAAGTACTTTCTAGAAAAAAACTTATTATAGTGTTTTGAAAAGTTCTCGAAGTAAATTAGAAGTATATATAACGAAAATTGAGATTTCCATTTAAAAAATTGAAAGTGACCTTCATGTGACTCTCAAATGACTATCCAAGATCAAACCAATGACATTTTTTTTATTCCCCTCGAATTTACAAAACATTTTTTTGTCTAACATTTTTCTCTAAAATGCACTGTTCAAAAGAAATATTTGAGATCATCGTTTAAAATGGTACATCCTATATAATATATAAATAATAAATATTATTATTTTTTTAGTTTGGCGTTTTTATTTTTTTGAAATAATGTTATGGCAACGTGAACGAATATGATACTTGTAGTGACAATATTAACAGTAAAACAATTGTTATTATAACATTTCTAGAACAATGTTATATTATATGTTATGTACAAAGTGACACGTATATTTTAAAAACCAAGTTTTTTTCAATTGAATATACATCCTCAATTATGTTAAACCAAACTAGCAGTACCGATGTTAATGACAACATTATCAGTATTTCGTTCATAAATTGTTAGATTGTGTTTCCTTGGCTGTTTCAATAAGGCGGTGAGTTGTCCTCCACTTGTGAATGATCCTATTGAAGGTGATAAGATCACATCACATTCTAACTGACCTATATAACAAGAAAACGATTTTATAATGTTCTACATAATGTTCTATTTTTAATATAAAAATTCTTAATGACAATGTCTAATTAAATTAACATTTTAGTCATCTTATTAAGAGATTGTGCCTAGTTCGCAGATTGAAAAAAATCGAATTTTTGTGAACTTTTTTTAAAGGAAAACGTATATTCTCTCTGAAACGGGCGTCCCTCTGCTTAAAATTTATTTACACCAAAATTTTCGCATAGGCACTAACATGTCTACTTTTATTACCCGCCTGAAACCTGTCAAAAATTCAACATGGCGGTCCAAAAATGGCGGCAAAACGTAGGAAAAGCTAAGAAAAAAAAAAGTTAAGTATTTATTAAAATACATGTCAAAAACATATTATTAGAAAGTTCCATTCGTGCCTGAATTATATGTTTACATATGTATTTTCATAAGCTACCTGATGTTTTTGAAAATTCAAAATGGTGGATCCAATATGGCAGCATAATCTAACGCAGAATAAAATAACGAGATTCTTGAATTTCATAAAGATCTCTATTGGGTTCGAAGAAACTGTTTTGTACTCAAATTGAGTATATTTAAGTTCTGTTTTATTGAATAATGTTTTCGAAAATTCAAAATGATGAATCCAATATTTTGAAAACATAATTTTGAGAAAAACATATTTAAAGTTTAAAGTGCAATTTAAATTAAATTAATAAATTTATTTTTTAACTTACAAAAAATCATCTATACCAAGCCATACAGAAGGCTGCTGCAGCTAATGTCTTTAAAACATTAATTTAATGTTGCCACATTTTTCCTTTCCAAATATTCTCTTGTACGCGGCGGTCAGATATCTTTGCACGTTCATCATCTTCTCTTATATATTGGTGGGCATTTGGGCTGTGGTTTACTTTCATAGCATCTTCAGTAATGCTCTTAAATTCTCATAAAATATAGTAATGTATGTGGGTGATTCGATAACAGACAGAATAGAGAGCGGCTAATTCGATAATAATTGAACTATTTAGAATAATTTTCGAGCTAATTTTTTAGATCAGTTGATTATAACTCTTGTCTTATTATTTTGAATGAAACCGCCAGCACTTTCTAGCAAAAATCTTTACTAAGCTCTACATAGATAGACTTGATTGCAACCAAAACATATGTAACTAAAGATTTTATAGTCATATTTATATGAAATTAGCTCTCCGTTCGCTAAAACGTACTGCTAAGCACACTATAATTTAGTTCCAGTTGAGCACATGTTATGACACGTTTCTTATTTGCAGAACTATAATGAGCTCTACAGTTGATATCAGAGTTCATATCAGTTTATATGTTGCTCATATCGCGTTATATAAGTTTTTCAATATGTAATTTGTAATACGTCTGTAATACGTCTGTAATACGTCTGTAATACGTATACGTTTGGTCTGAAAGTTCGTCGAATTTGCTATTACATTATTATACGAAATCCTTCATATTGACTAATACAAGTATGTACCTTAGCAACATATATCAATAGATGACTACAAATAAGAAGGAAGATATTTGTCTCTAGCTCCCTATACTACACTAACTATATCTATGCAAAGTACTTTGAGAAAATATATATTCACGGTTATATATCCTCATAAAATTAAAGCAAATCAACTTGAAATTTTTAAGAAATATTTCTAACATTATATACTTCAAAAAATGTGGTTTTTGAAAAAACAATTTCTTCAAAATTTCTGACTAGGCATAACTCTTTAAATAAAATGTTTAATAAATATTTAATAAATGTATCTACTTGCTTATCATTGCTTATTTAAATAGTTATTTTGGAGTAATATTATTTTCTTACATTTACCTGATAACGAAGGCGACGCACCTTTGCTGGAGCCATACATGCGTGTGCTGTATCCAGAATCATTATGAGTGTCGTGTAAAAGTGATGTTGGACTGTACACAGATTTACGTGATCTGTACGGCATTTGTGCAATGTCATACGACATATCTTTGGAGATATCTTTCTTGCAGTTCATCTCTTTATATGTTTTGGATTGTTCAATCTCATCATCTTTCTCCTCACTATTGTCACTATCTACGATATTAATATTGATTAGAATAAATTATGTAGAGTCAGTGCAAATTATGCACAATACTTTACTATATAAGTTTCTTTTCATCTTTTTTAATAATATAATCTAACTCAATATTATATATGAATTCAAATTATGCAATTATATATGAATTTAAAAATGGGTATAATAATTAATTTCTGTTTCTATCGTAATTTATATTATAAATTTTAAATTTTCTGAAATGCTTAAATAATAATCATGAAGAAGCCATTTCTTTTTAAAATTTAAAAGATCATTTCTTGTAGTGCAAGATGAAATTTTACGGTTATTTGAAAATTATGTACTTCCATATAAAATTAATCGCTGAATCCAAAAATGAACCGAAAAATTAAAACAATTTGAATTGAGCAAAATATAAAAATAAAAAATGCATTTTTAATTAAAAATCGCTCAAATATTTCCTTTTCTTAGCTAGTCTATTTTCTTTGTGAATGCTCGAGAAAAAGTAATAATACGATCGAATATAATCAGATTTAATCTTTCATATATAATCATATTCGAAAAGTGGCGCGATATGATTTTATAAAATTAAATTTGAATATATCTTATCTCGTAAGCAATCATGTCATTTTCACAAAATTTTTTATAAACAATTATATATAACGAAGTATAATTGTAAATAATTTTATGTAATTAAAGATATCAAAATATTCATTAATATAATTTAGTTAATTTATTAAATATACTAAATAGAAGAGATATAATAAAATGCGTAAACGATTATAATATGTCTTATTATTGATATTATATTAATATATATTAAAACATTGATTATATTAATGTATATTGTATATTAAAACACACACGCACGCACACAACAAAAAATGTATCTAATTATTTTAGAATAGATATTATTTAAAAAGAAAAATGCTTTAATGATGATTTAGCTAAAGATACAGTTCCAATATTTTTGACTCGGTTATTATTGAACTTAACATAAACATAAACATAATTACGTTCAACGATTCAACAATTTAATGTGATTTGAATCATAAACTCTCCGCCGGATCGTTTTGATCCAGCGGTGCAGCGTATTAACGGCCCGCCAGCAAACGCCTGTTTTATTTACATACATACGCAGTTTGTTGAGTCGACAATTACGTTTTCACCTATGTATGTATGTAATAGACATATCGTGGCTTGCACGCGTCGAGAAAGTTATGTATTACACAGTAGTTTGCGTTTATCATCAGTAAATAGGAGAAATATAGTTTACGCATGAAGATAATTCTCAAGCGAAAATATGGACATACTTATATTGAAGAATAAATACTTTGTATTTCGTAAACATTTCGTCAAAAATCTTATTTTAATAATCAACACGAACGAAATTCCGATATGGATCAAATAGACCCGGCATTCGCCGTGCACGTGACTGTTTCACCCGCCTTCCGAGAATTAAAAGAGAATAATAGACATCAAAACGAAAATCGCATCAAAAATTGAACATAACTTTTGAATGTGACTGCTTTAGAGGCTAATAAGAACTTTCTAAATATTTCTTTTATATTGAACTATATTATCTTTATTGATATTGTTTGCCTTATAATATTTTAGTCATTCAAAAAATATTGTCACCTTGAGTGTGAACTCTTCGATTTTGAGAGCATTTGATACGTTCTTCCAGACTGGCCTGTTCATCGCTTTCGGAGTGACTTCTTCGCCAACTATTATGTATATCAGGTACTTGTTGAAATTGTTTTATCATCTCCTGGACACTGCCATTCCATTCTATCATATTCCCATGGTTAATCTTTTGGATTTTGCTCTCGTCCATGCACATGTTCATACTAAGCATGTCATGCGACACACAACTCTTAAAAACACAAGAGATAAACAAAAACTTCAAATAAGACGTCTGAAAGACGTCTACAAAATCTCATTTATTGAAAAATAAGACGTCTTTGAGATATCTTAAAAACGTCATAAATCGGGTCATAAGACGTCTTAAAGACCTTTTTTTTTTTTATAATTTAATAAGACGTCTTATAATATTTAAGATGTCTTTTAGACGTCTTTAAGACTTTAACAACAAAATATTGTATAGCGTAAAAGTTTTTATTAAGCAAGTCCTTAGTCTTTTTATGAGAAGGCAATGTTCCTTCGGTCAGACGCATCCAAACCCTTCATTCTAACAATGAAATCACCAAAAGAATGACATTAAAATTTAAGAGGATTGTTAAAAAAAAACTGTTTAACAGATTTTTATCTTTAATCAATCATGAAAATTATATTACAACATTTATACATATTTATCAATGTGCATTATTATTACATATGCATTATTTATTATATTAACTTTATTTAGTTGTTTTATAAAGCTAGGCTTTTTAGGACAGCTAGCATTTTAATTATTATAAGTATACAATTACAATTATCTAGTTACAATTTTGTTCTCTAGATAGTATAAGCTATGAATAACATGTTTATAATTGGCATAGTTGTGCAATAAAAGAAAGTGTTTTTTATTTTTCTTTGAAATGCCTTTATTTTCCCTTTAAATATTTTTATCTTTTAAGCTTATGCTTTGATATCTTTTTTATTTTGAGAGAATTAAGTAAGATATGTTTGCCACATTGTAATACAGATTTTCAAGAATTAAGAAAAATAAGATTCCTTCTCATAAAACAGAAAAATAACATGTTTACTTAACCTTTACTCAAATCATTATCAATTATTACAAATTATCATTGATGCATAACTACTTTTTGTTATTTATTTCAAAGAAAAACAATAATGAATGATAATACAGTTCTTACTCTTTGTTGTCTTTCGTTCATAGGAGCTGATTCTATCGCAACTATATCTGGGGACGAATTTCCACTCTGTTTAATAATTCCATGGAATGTTTCGTTCAATTTTGGAGAAATATCTAATACTCTGAGTTCAGATTTAGTTATTCTAGATTGTGAAGGCAATTCTTTCATGGATATACTAAGTCTAGGTATAGCTGGTATATCGAGATCGTCTAAACTTCCACGATGAATGGGTGTTTCTCCAGGAATTTCAAAACTACGATCTTGTGGTCGGTCATCCAACAAATCCTCTAATGATCTCGTCCTTATTGGAGATATAACTTCCGATTGATTGTAGTTGGTTTTTACTAGCCTCTCGCTATATCTACCTCTCCCACCTCGCTGTAGATGTTGCTGAAGATGCGAATACTTCTCATTACATCTAGAGTGTTCTTCCTGAACGCATTTAGTTAAATGCGAAATTTGTCCTCTGGTCCTCCTTTCTAAATTGGCAACTTTTAAATCTAACTTTTCGTGAGCCTGATCGATATGTGCTTTTAATTCGGCCTTATCTCGTTCCAGCTTTGCCTCCATATGCCGGAAAAATGGTGCACAATAGCATGTGTATCCCACACCAACTGGACCCTTTCTGATATTACCTGCTAGATCTAAGTAATACTGTTCACCTCGACCTAAAGGATCAGCTGGTAGCGAATCTAGACGAGGTTGAGGGAATGATTCTGGATCTGGATAATAGTGACAACCATAAGGTGACCATTGTCGACCCATAATAGCTCTTTCAAAGCGGACTTTATGCTGTTTGCTATTGGCCTTATACTTCTTTCGATCTTTCTTTGAATTACTTCCGCCGCCACCACTTGTGCCGCTTCCACTTTTTTCTCGCTTTTTATCAGATCTCATCGCCTTATCTGATAAAATTATTAAATTAATCAGATACTTTAAATAATTAATTGGCAATTTTGTACTAATTAATTATTTAAGTCATTTATAAAACAAATCAAATGGTTAATTGTTAATATTATTAATATTATTTAAAAGAAATAATGATAGTACAACGTTCACATATGAGTAATAGCATTATTCTCTGTAATAATATAATTATTAATATATTAATTTCATATTACTTATACTCATAATTGATTTCTTATTTATAATTATAATTAAATTTGAACTTACTATCATCTATTTTGCCATCTACTGAACCACCCTCACGGCTTTTACTGCGCGTTCGGCTTTTACCTCGCGCCCTAGAAATAATTTCTAGAATTTCAATATGATTCTTACGGCGGGCAATATCTTTAGCCGTTTCATTTTGTTTATTGCGCAGATTTCGATCACAACCAGCTTCTAAAAGAATGCGCGTCAATTTTCGGCGCCCCATAGCTGCAGCTATATGTAAAGCAGTATCGCCATTCTAGAATAGATAAAAAAAATGATATATAAATAGTGATTGAATGAATATATTTGTTACATCCTGAGGATTTCACGATTTTCCTTTTCCAAAGTAATAAGATGAATGATAAGCTTCAAAGAACAAATTGGGAAGAGTATTACTCCCAAGGACACACATCCAATCGTCTCCTTCCATTTTAAAGTTTCGAATTCGAAAATATTATAGTCTCGATATTTTCGCATTAAAATTTTCGTTTTAAAATTTTCCTAATGCTAAGAACTCACACAACTACACATATAAAATGACAAATGTATAGATTTTGAAAGAGTTCGTTTACAATCAAAATCACTAGCCACTTTAGATTCATTCCTTATTAAAGCAATTTTTAAAAAATGTTGAACTAACATGAATATATTCTTAAATTGACATAAAAAAGATTATAATAATTTTTTACCATTGCATTCTTTGCTAGAAGGATGATATTTAAACCATTTTCATAAAGATGATTTTTGTTCAGTGAAATAAAAAATATAATTTAAAAATTGTTCTGCACTCTATTGAAGTACACGCACGCACGCACGCACGCACGCGCACATGTGTATAAATATAAAAAAGTTAAAAAAAATTATTATATATCTAAAAAACTATAGCCGGCTGGCCGTTGACATTACAACACTTTATAATTATAACATAATGGCAACTTGGGTCTGTAATATGTTTT